GTCTTCTAAAACAATCCAGAGAAAACTCTCTGGTCTGCACAATATAAAATACTGTATGGTGTATCGGATTTTTGGATTGCCAGATAATATAACAAATTTGATTATTTCCTCTTTTTTCCCCACTTTGTAAAGGCATCACTTCACAGCCCATCTTGACTCAGCCTGTCTCCCAGTCTGGATCTCCAGGAGAAACCATTAAACTTTCCTGTGCCATCAGCAGTGATCCATACTACGTTTACTGGGTTCAACAGATCTGGAGAGGCCCCTCGCTTTGTACAGTGTGATGGCTGCAGCAGCAGGGGACCAGGGATCCCAGACCGATTCACAGCAACCCGATCAGGCAACAACGGCTATTTAACCATCACCAACCTTCAGGCAGAAGACGAGGCCGATTATCACTGTTCCATGTGGTATAGCAGTGGTAGCGTGCTCCACAGTGAGCCAATCTGATGGGGAACTGAGACAAAAACCTTCTTCCTCCCCAGAGAAAGAGTTGCTCAGAGGTTGTGCTGTTCTTCCTTCGATGTAACTGAAAGGGTGAAATGGGCAGTGATCAAGCCAGAGATCAAGCAATTTGGTTATTTCCTCTTGTTTCCCCACTTTGTAAAGGCATCACTTCACAGCCCATCTTGACTCAGCCTGCCTCCCAGTCTGGATCTCCAGGAGAAACCATTAAACTCTCCTGTGCCATCAGCAGCAGTCCAAACTACATTTACTGGCTTCAGCAGAGATCTGGAGAGGCCCCTCGCTTTGTCCACTGTGATGGCTGCAGCAGCAGGGGACCAGGGATCCCAGACCGATTCACGGGAACCCGGTCAGGCAACAACGGCTATTTAACCATCACCAACCTTCAGGCAGAAGATGATGCTGTTTATTACTGTTCCATGTGGTATAGCAGTGGTAAAGTGTTCCACAGTGAGCCAATCTGATGGGGAACTGAGACAAAAACCTTCTTCCTCCCCAGAGCAGGGACTCGCTCAGAGGTTGCCCTGTTCTTCCTTTGATGTAACTGAAAAGGTGAAGCAGGCAGTGATCATGCTAGAAATTCCTCTTCCAGAAAAATAATGAAATTGCAACCCAAGAACACAAGACAAAGAACTCAATCTTTTCTTTTTTGTATATATAAAAAGGATATAGTCTTAACTGGTCCAAGTTGGAATTGATGCCAATCAGTGAAAACTGGGTTAGGTATCCATTTGAGGAATACCAACTCCGTATTTGTACTGAATCCATTCAGTATTGAGGAGTGTACATACCAAAATATCTAACTCAGCACCATGTAGTGTAAAAATAAAATAACTACGCATAATATACTGTTGGCACCAAGTGACACAACTCACCAAAGTGTAATGGACATGAAAGAAAGAACCTTGAAGAAATTTGGGGCTGGGGGCACCTTTCTCTGAAACGTATTTGGAATGGAAGAACGTGTCCTCCAGGTATAGTCACAGGATTTGACAGCAGGGGGTGCCACCCGCCCAGTAATGCCCCAAACGAAACTTCTGCCCCCACTCTTGAAACTTTCCTTTGGGCAACAGACTGAGCAATTTCACCAGCTGCAAAATGCTTCTTGCAAATCTCAAGAGAGAAAAAATAATAAATTTCATAAATGGTTTGGGAAATCTGAGGTGCTATTGAGAGGAGGTTGTGGGACAACTCTGGAGAGTTTTTTATGGCAAAAAACTCTCTTTTGGGGGAGATCCCCATATTTTTCCATTCTAGAATAAGCTCCCATGGATTTTCAGTCAACCAAGCTCCTTCTCATGGTTTCCATGGTGGTTTCTCCTTTTTTGTCTGCAGTCGCACAGCAGTTATGTTGTGCTGAAATGTGTTGGAGGTTGAGGTGTCACCCAGGATCCATAAGAAACCCTTGTAAGGATTACTGGTCTGGGCATGAGATCATGAGATGAACTGGGCTTCATGCCCTGAATTTAGAGTCCAGGAAATTCTCCAAAGCAGGCTTGATAATCTGAGAACTTCAGGAGAGACGTGCTGAAGGAGATCAAAGGCAGACCAACTCCAATCTTCTGGATAACACTGTGCGGAAACTAATTGGAAACAGAAGGACAGAAAGACAAAAGGATCTTCCCATTTGGGATCCACAGCACCAGGAACTGAGATTGCCATGTGAGGTACAGAAGTAAATAAAAAGAGAGAATGTGACCCATTCTTGCAATGAAAATACAATTACACCAGAACAACTAGCAGAAAGACACATTCAGCTGCCCTTTTATGGCAGGGGAAATGTGCTGTCCAAGGCAGTGACCTCTGTCTGCATCCTGGGATGCAGAACTGGGATGTGACAATGGTGTCACAGAGAAGAAGAAAGAAATTAGTTCACGGTGCCAAATGCCAGGAAGACAGCATCCTCCTTCAAGACAGATGCCTTCGTTGCTATGGGGATGTGGGTGATAAGGAGTTTACAACCAGCCTAGTTCACACCAACTTCAAGGGTGCCACCCATTCCTTCATGTTTCAATTTTCTTAAGGCGATCCCATTCATCAAACTTTCCTGAAGGTCAGCTCTAAATTGCTTCCAATTGTGCCCTGGTTTTCTCTTTCCTTGCACAGCGGACACTGCTTTGCAGGGGACTCTTCTTCACCATCTCTTTCTCAGCTTGCATCTGTGGTGCTTTCATTCAGACCAATAACTGAAAATCTCCTGCCCCATTAGGAATTAGATCACAATGATTTTCTGGAGCTTCAGCAAAAATCCAGACTGGTTCCTTGCCTTCTCCTCTCTGATGGATATAAAACCAGGAGACCCACATCCATGGACAGAATCTCTGCTTTCAGTTCTGAGGATGTGGCCAATTGAGACATCCTCAACACCCAGATGGACAACAAAGCAGATTCTTCTAAGATAGCAATGGCTACCACAGCAAGTTGAGTGGTTGTGAGACAAACACTTTCTCTTTCATCCCCAGAAGAAAGAAGATAGAGACATTTCACTTCCCTGTGAAACTCTTTGCCTTCTTGTGTCTGAAGCGATGGACAAACCACAAACCAACAGCGTCCCATTTCTAGTTGAGAAAAGATGACTTTGTAGCCAAGGTGGCCAAGGGCAGAACGCAATATTCCTTGGAAAAGAGGCCCACAGAGCAGTGGAGGAGAGTTGAAATATGCACAAACGTTCGCCATGTTCTCTCTTTCACTTGTGTTGTGATCTTTCTTCACTTCTCAATGAGTCTTGCTTGGAATCAGAGTCAATTTCTCAGGAACAGCATCTTGGATAAATGGCAGTTTCTGGGTCCATGCATCTTACACTGGAGGGATCCATAGCTGATGATGATTGCATCTAAATTGTCTGCATGCAGCCCATCTCTTATGCAAATAAATTAAGGAAAGGGAGAAGTTCCACTCTGGAAGAAAAAACACCCTTCATCAAACATGGGACTTTGAGGAGCTTCACAAAGTCAAGGAAATGAGGATTATTTATCTTGTTTAATTTTATTTACTTCTTTATTTATTTACAGAACGTATATGGTTGCTATCTCATATAATGATCTTAGGGGGCTTACAAAACTCTAAAAATAGAGATCAAACCAAACCACCCTCACCACCAGATGCCAGACCAAAGGACCGCCAGGCTCAACCTCCCCCCTAGCCAAGTGCTTGGAGCTAGTATCAAGGGATCCCTTGAATCACAGGGAGGAGGCTACTCCACAGGGCTGGACAGACACCAGGAAGATGCACCTCTGAATTCCTACCAGGTGACAATATATAAGGAAGGGAACCTGGAGGATGACCACCATATATGACCTAGAAGCATGGGCAGATGCCCTCAGTCAGAGATGGTCCAACAGATAATCTGGGCCTTTGCCAGAAATGGCTTTATAGATGAAAAAGAAAATTGAGGAAAGAGGGAACCTTTAAGAAATTTGAACTTGGGGGCACCTTTCTCTGAAAAATATTTGGAATGGAAGAACGTGTCCTCCAGGTATATTCACAGCAATTGACAGCAGGGGGTGCCACCCTCCTAGTAATAAATGGAACCAACCTTCTGCAACCACTCCCAAAACTCTTGTCTGTGCAACAGACTGAGCAACTTCACCAGCTGCAAAATGCTTCCTACAAATCTCAAGAGGGAAAGGAAAATCAGATTTTATAAACAGTTTGGGAAATCTGAGATTTTGTTTAGGGGAGGATGTGGGACTACTCTGGAGCGTTTTTCATGTTCAAAAGTCTCTTTTGAGGGAGATTCCTGTGTTTTTCCATTCTACAATAAACTCCCATGGTTTGCAGTGAACCAAGCTCCTTTAGATGGTTTCATTGGTGGTTTCTCCTTTGCTGTCTGGAGTTGGACAGCAGTTTTGTTGTGCTGAAATGGGTTGGGAGGTTGAGGTGTCACCCAGGATCCATAAGAAACCCTTGTAAGGATGATAGGTTTCGGCACAAGATCCTCTTTTAACAAATGGATTGGGCTTAATCCCCTGAATTTAGAGTCCAAGCAATTCTCAAAATCAGCCTTGATAATCTGAGAACTTCAGGAGAGACATGCTGGAGGAGATCAAGGGCAGACAAACTCCAACCTTCTGGATAGCATTGTGTGGAAACTAATTAGAAATGGAAGGACCCAAAGACAAAAGAACCTTCCCATTCTGGTTCCACAGCACCTGCTATTATTGTAGATTGCCATGTGATGTGGAGAAATAAATAGAATTAGAGAATGTGAGCCATTCTTGCAATGAAAATACAGTTACACCACAACAAGGACCACAAAGACAGGTTCAGCAGCCCTTTCAGGGCAGGGGAAACGTGTTGTCCAAGGCAGTCCCTCAGTCTACATCCTGGTCAAACTGGTCCTGCTCAAGCCCACATTATGACACAAAACCCAAATAAAGGCAGTTTTTAAGCCGTCCCTTTATGGAAATGTCTTCTTCATTCATTGGTCAAAATACACTGGCTAGTGTAATAAGGGGGCGGCCCTTCAATCTAAAGGAAACCAATCAGTCTGTATATATTTGCATGGAGCTTTCTTCAGTTCTAGCAGGACTTAAGTAAGTAGGTAGAAGGATCCCAGGCAGACATTCCTTGGTTTTAGAAGACAATCCTTTTGGAAGGGAAGCACAATGGCCTTGACACTACTTTTCCTTTCCTTTCTTACTTATTTCTCAGGTAAGTACTGTGTACAGAGAAGGTCTTCTAAAACAGTCCAGTGAAAACTCTTTGCTCTGTACAAAATAATAAAATATGGTGTATCCAACTGGATGGTTCTGGGATTATTGGATTGCCAGATAATATAACAAATTTGATTATTTCCTCTTTTTTCCTCACTTTGCAAAGGCATCATTTCACAGCCCACCTTGACTCAGCCTGCCTCCCAGTCTGGATCTCCAGGAGAAACCATTAAACTCTCCTGTGCCATCAGCAGCAGCCCAAACTACATTTACTGGCTTCAACAGAGATCTGGAGAGTCTCCTCGCTTTGTCCACTGTGATGGCTGCAGCAGGGGACCAGGGATCCCAGACCGATTCACAGCAACCCAGTCAGGCAACAACGGCTATTTAACCATCACCAACCTTCAGGCAGAAGACGAGGCTGATTATTTCTGTTCCATGTGGTATAGCAGTGGTAGTGTGCTCCACAGTGAGCCAATCTGATGGGGAACTGAGACAAAAACCTTCTTCCTCCCCAGAGAAAGAGTTGCTCAGAGGTTGTGCTGTTCTTCCTTCGATGTAACTGAAAGGGTGAAATGGGCAGTGATCAAGCCAGAGATTGATCTTCCAGAAAAATAATCGAATTGAAACCCTAGAACACAAGACAAAGAACTCTGTCATATATATATATGGTCCAACTTGGACCAGTTAATACAATATCATATAAATATATAAATATATAAATATATATATG